ATTTTTGCTTTTCTAATGCCTTTTCTCTCTTTTATTTGTCCTCTTCTGCCACTCATGGCAGAAATAACAAAGAATTAGTTTGCCCCTTCTTCTTGGCAACCACTACTTGGTTATTTACTCAAAGAAATACTTAAGCAAGGATAAGAGAAGAAAATCACTTCATTCCAATGCTGTTGGTTGTGAAAACTGTGGAAAGCAATGATTGAAAACAATGGTAGCACATTACCACTGAAGTATCCATGTTATTTACATGCAGGCAGATAATTAGGTCACAAAGTCCTGTGTTTATCTAACTGTGACAGATTTATTTTAATCAATGTTTGATTTATATTTTTGAAAATACTTTTATATATAAAAATATCTATTAAAAAGTTTAAATTTCATTAAATGAACTAAATAGAGCTCCACAGGGAAATATTAACTGAAAACTGCAAGATGTCCTTAAAAGGATGAACGTAACCGAACTCTTGAATTTCAGATATAAACTTGATCATTCCTTAATCTGGTTCCAGAAGTTGATCCCATACTCTCTCACCTGAAGTGATCATCCAGTTAGGAGACAAGTATTTTGAATTTCTGAATGCTTTATAGAATCTTAAACAGAACAATGTCTTTTATTTGGAAAACTGAAGCTTATGATATTTATTTAGTAAGTACTAAGAGTACTGGTATTTTATCCATATTGCACATAACTATTGAACTGCTCAGACTAAATCACTTACCTTATAGAAATAAATACATGTTTTGTATAGCTATTTTCCTTACTCATTCTTGTTCAACACACAGTCTAATTGGTATGAAAAAGACAAGTCTCTCCTGATGTTTACCATTTGATGAACTTTATTATTTTTCCCAGTATGGCCAAAATCCAGGCCCAAATATCTCAGTAGTAAAATGACCATAAATTTCAATAGAATGTTTGTGTGTGGCACCAATGGAATTACTGAAATTACTTAGGTAAGCCTATTTTTTTGTTTGTATATTCATCAATAGGTACCTAATTTTCACAGCTCTTAATAGGTTGCCAGAACAATATTCCTCCTGTCCTAGAAATATTCTGGCTTACTATTTACAGCATAGTTCAGCATATCTGATGGCAGAAAGAATGTTGGATAGCTTGATAAAATATGGTAATAGGACATATGAAATAAGAATTTATAGTGTAGGCCCTGCACCTGTGTTCATCTGAAAAAGTTTTCTCATGATAGAGGCCTTCAGTACTCTCTACACGCAGAGTAATTTCAACCTGCTCCATAAACTGAGCCATAATGTAAACATGCTCATAGACTGCTGAAATGAAACCATGGGGAAAAAAAATAAAAAATCAACAAACAAAAAACTTTTATTTACCAGGCATTAACTAAAGCTAATTTGATTAAAAGTACTCAATATATCAATAACTGATTTTAATCCTGATTTGAATTAAAGTATCTGAATCTAGCTTTTTCTCTGCAAAAGATAACTATTTTCATCACTCTGGAACAGTGGCATAAACCGTTGCAGAAAAACAGTAACTGGAAGACTTAGGTTTAGATTGTAGCAAAGGGGATTGATAACCTTTCTGAAAATACTGTGCAACTGCCAAGACTTAATGCAGAGATAATCTAGAAATAAATGTCCCTTGACCTGTCCAATGTTATAATTTTTACTGAAATGAATTTTTTTAAAAACATGTAATTTTAATATGCAAAAATTGCATACTGCTGGAGGATTAAACTTTAATGGCTTGTTTTTTGAAGAGTATCTTAAGCTTCCATGAATTTCAGTGGGATTTAGTGGTTAATCACTTTAAAACATGATGGTAAAACATTCCACTCTTTAATAAGTTCTTCAGATTTCACAACTGAAGTTACTACCAACTGATTTCAAACAGAATTTTTTAGCAGAAATGAAGGAGAATGCTAAACTTTTCTTAACATAGGAATCTGAAATCTGCCCCACTGAAAAACTGAATTTTCTGCCGACTGTTTATTTTGCTATATATGAATAAAGACACTGGGTGGGAGAAGAAACTTGTAAGACAACATGAACTCCAAAACCTTTTTCCCACTCAGTGTCATTTTAAGTTTTGTGCAGTTATATTGATGTATTTGTGTATCATGTTTAATCTGTTATTGCAATAAACCCACCTTTTTCCCTATGGAATGTCACACATTACTCTCTGACAATTTTCACATAAAGAGATGCCCACTATACCAAATTGAATAATGTCTCAAAATTGGCATTGAACAGAACATGCAGTGTTTGAGGTAATAGAACTACATTATACCTTATTATCAAAAGTGATGACAGAAAATTCCTTTTTATATATATACACACACCCATATATATTTGTCAATTAGTTGCTGGATATTTACTGCCAGGTATTTGTGAGACAATCAGAATTTTACGAGAATCTACCATGCTAGAGAGAATCAATTCTTGTATGGTTATGGTTCCTATATCCTTCTGACAGGTGTTTCCAACAAATATTGGGAAAAAGTAAAATCCAGAGGAGCATGATACTCTAATTTCACACTTTGATATCAGAAATATATTAGGTCCAACAAAGGTAAGAAATGCAATTCTGTCATTAAGCCACATAATTAAAGGTGTTCTTCAATGCAGTCTTGCTATGTTTATTCAATGAATCATAATGAATTGCAAGATATACAGTACAACTAAATCGTCCTTGATTTATAATAACAACTTTCAAATGTTAAATAAGTCTGTTATTGAATACATCATCAATTATAAATAAAAATGCAGCAGTTTTCTATTTCTTTTGCTTTAAAAATAAATTCCTTTTCGTATTTTTATTATATGGTTTTATTCAGTTGGTGATTAACATCGAAAATCTCTGTGAAAGTTATTTTTGCTGGTATATGCATGTGTTCAAGTGAGCAGTTTTAATTTTCATTTTTCTTTTCTATTTTGAAGTCTCACACAAACAATTAATTTATCCTCACAACATCCCTGTGAGGTAGGTACTTAGGCTGTATTAAAAAATAAAAAAAAAGGACTCAGGAGAAATTCACTGTTCAGCAAAGCCAAAACTAAGACAGTAACAAGGCAGTTGTACTTCTCACTCTGATTTGAGCCATGAAAATATACTGCCTTTCACCAGTCTCAGTACCTTCTGTAAAGCTTCTAAAATATTTCATATGAATACCACCTTGGTCATTGTCAACAGAGAAATATATTTTTCATGAGAAATGAGAAGGATACAGTAATTATCCTGTACGCATGTAAATTTCATTGAATAATGTCCTCAGTCTCCAGATAAATACTAACAAGTAGACTTCTTGCATGAAATATTTCAGAATATTTAAAAATTTAACCATTACAAGAATATAAATATATTATATAAATAATATATTTTAAGAATAAAAATACATGTAATGGTTACATGGCTTTAAAAAGTCAATGACTGTATTTCTTTGACCAATTCAAAAGCACATATGCTGCTCTATCTACCTTACATATTTTAAAGAAAAATATGCTAATATATAGTTTTATTGATTTGGTAGTAAAATTTTGTAATGGATATACTCATCCTCTGTCATGGTAGGTGGTAGGTGACATAAAAAGCACATTGACAGCAGAATGTTTTTATATAAATTGCATGCACATTCTTATTTCTTACTTGCTTATCAAAGGAACAAATATATTCATTATAAGAAAAGACTCATTTACAAGACAAAGTGAAGCCTGCTCTAGCTCCATGCCAATATAAATGATTTGCAACTGATTACATCCATCAAGTTTAATATAAACCATAGTAATCTGAAAAGAGTAATCAGATGGAACAAGATTTAATAACATACAAACCAAAGTTAATGTTTCTCTGATTGTTTCCATTAACTGCATAGCTATGCCAATTATTATTTTAATATATACATTATGTAACTTAATAGTAGAAAAGTTAAAAATACACAGTACACAGTACATTAAATAGAAGACTGTATTGACCAAAAGGTTATACATTATTGCTGATTTTTGGAACTTTTTTTCTTTTTTTAAAACATAGTTGACCATATATCAATTGGAAATAACACTTAATGTATTTAAGTTTTCATTATTGTGTCAGTATGTCCCCTCTGCAATCTAGGTGCATTTAAAAATAAATAAATAAAATTATACTTTTATGAAACACCCCCTTACCGCTAGCACTTTTAAGATTACAGAAGAGCACATAATGCATCAACTTCCTTGAGAGCAAGTCTTATCTTTCTTCATATAAAAGCAAAAGCCCAGATGACAATGAGCAGACTAGTAGGAATGGCAAGGAAAAACTGCCATGTAAATGAAAAAACAATCTCTGGTAACCTTCCAAATGGGTAACACCCAACACCTATTTTGGTCATAAACCTGGAATAGTGACAGTTTATTTCCCTTTTATTCAGTATAAACCAGTAAGAAAAATTGTATTTTATATACAACTAAACAACTCAAAATCAGAAGACACGAAGTTGGTTCATAAAATTATGTCTTCATCCTGTCAAATTTAAAAGTACACTTTCTTGCAAAAACTTCTTGAGAATTCAAGCATTGAAGAAGAGGCCATGTATATATAGTGTCATAAGATTTTTTTTTAATCTCTTCCTAAAGTGGGTGTAACATGTTATGGACAAATAAAAAAACAATTAAAATTGGCATGGGATGAGTAGTTTGAAAAAGACAATTTTTCTGACTGACACGTTCACTGAACAAACTAGATGCATGGAAAACTAACGTTTTTAAACTGGAAAATGTTATGGAAAAATAATGAGGCAAAAGAAATAAACGTGAATTTTTCATTGCTGAGTTTTTTTGTAATTGGCTGATTTAACATAAGGGCAATTTTAAGACCAAAGCAGAGAACTATTGTATTAGAATATAAAGATTCCCCCACTTGCAGACAATAGGGTTTTTCTTATTAATATCTGAAGAGTTGACACTGACCCTGAAGCTCTTATTGTTAGTAGGATGCTGTTAGTAGTAGCAGTTGCAAACATATGGGTTTGCCAGTAACAACTCACAATTTGTGCATAGTTGAGTCTTCGAAACTGAGCAAATTTGCTCTCAAAATCGCGCCAGCGCTTGCTGAGCTGTATCAGGGTTGGCTCCACTGCTTTTGCAGCCCCATCCTTAGACAAGCGTTCAGCCTGCCTGTGCACCGCATTCAGATCTTCCTTCTTCTTCTCCAATTCTCCATCAATCTCCTAGTGAGCAAAACCAATACAGGGCCCAGGACAGTTAGCTAACTAGATCAATCAACTTAAAAGTAGCAAAATACTTCTGTCAGAAATTCCATTTCCATTTTATTGTCACAATTAAAATTTACAGCTATTTCATGTCTTACTTTACATTTAAACAAAACAAAATTAACTGCAATTGAAGAACCTTCTTGGAGATTGGCTGTAGAGATACTAACAGCTAGTACACACTGAAAACTAGTTAGCAAAGGCCAACAGTTTCCACTTCCAGATTCTTGTCAGTACACTGTGATGGGCAATTGGAGAAATTATGTTCTCAATAAGGGTCAGCATATTCAGGACAAATAGTGTTTGGACAGCTTACAAATACATTATTTGACTCTTTAATGTATTACTTAACTCCTATTTTACTCTGTGGGAAACTCAACAGAGAATGAAGCAAAGAAAGACGATGCAAAATAAACTAGGAAAACCTTTGACAAGTATGTAAATAAATCTATAGAGTTTGACAGTGATATATGAATATGTTCTGATGAAAATGAATGTGCTAACATGAGATAGAGGTCATCCGTATATTGGTAAGTCATTTGTTCATCTGGAACAAAGATACATAAAATCAATTACAATTTTTACTAGAAAACATTTGAATCTTCTTAATACATTGCACACTTTCCATATTATTGACAAAAAATTTTATTTAGTGTGTTTCAAATTATTTATGTAACATTCTGTATAACAAACAAATACAAGATATAGTACAACAAAGAAATGTCAGTTTGAACACAAATAATTATGGTTTTTTTTACTATAAATAGAAATAAAGAACTACTTTAGCTTTCCTTACTTTCTCTATCTATTTGAAAATTTGTTGCATTTGCTGTCTGTTAAATTAATAAAATATCACTCAAAAAGATCTACTATTGCCATCCCAAAACAACATTACCTTTAGCTTCTGCTCATCTTTGTGGTCTGGTAGACTGGCTAACTTTTTCTCAATGTCATCCAGCCATGTCATTAGGTCATCAGCCTGCCTCTTGTACTGATACCATTGATGAGAAATCTCTAAAGCCTTTTTTCTTCTTTGAGATCTCAAGTCCTGTTCACAGTGCAGACATTATTAGAATATGCATTAAAGGCTTATAAAATATGAATTGGCATGTGTGCACACTGAAGGAAAAAAAGTACACAAGGCCACTATTCGCTTTAATTAAACATTGATATTTAAATCAAGTATGTAAGTATCTAAACGCAGCATATTTTCTTCAGTTTAACCGTATATAAATAACTGAACACAACATATTTTCATCAGTTTAACAGATTATTTTTTCTTTTAAAGGAGGTTACCTAATTCAGGGTTGTTCACATGCTGAATAAACCACTGAGACAGTCACCAATATTCAGAGAAGTTAAGACTCTTACATAAATGTCAATATTTTATATAAAGCACTTCTGCTCAGAATACTTACTGGACAGATGGAAACACAGCCCACTTAGTACCTAGCCATAAGTGGGCTTCCTGTGTTTTGTGGTCTCCTGTGAAATTCTAGCCTGCATGCAAACTCTAGCTCTTCAGAAGAAAATAATTTCAATGCAGAAATGTATGCAAAGACAGATTTCTTTTTTCTAAATTAAATACCATTTACATAATATATGTCTTGTGTTTGTGACCCAGCTCTACAAAAGCATTAAAACCTCTCTTTAACAGGAGGTTAAAAAATGTAATTTTATATCACATAAATATTATTAAATATACTCCATTTGCATTTGGTTTAACTGTTTAACTTTGCTCATACAGAATTCAGAAAATATTTTCACTACTATAACTTCTTATTAAGAAATAGATTAAAAAATTACTGGTACATTTTATATAAAAATACTCAGATGAATTTACCTCAACCATTCTTGAATTTTATTTGACAAGGTTCAATGCCTTAACTGAGTCACCCAAAGGAAAATCAATCACTCTATTCCATAAAAACAGCCAGTAAGGATCTGGTCAATAGCATAGTTCTAGAAACACTTTTCTTGTTTCTCCTTCATAAAAATTATTAACTACTTCCATTTAACTTGGAACAGTCAAAGACACACCAGATAGATTTCAAGTTTCTTTTAAATGTGGACAAAATAATGGTATATTCCAGCTACTCTTTTACTGAATGCACACAGATCTGAAAAACTGTAAAAATTAGAATAAAAAACACAGGAAAGGAAAGAAGCTGCTTAAAAATAAGTAATAATAAAACGTAACCATGTTGTTTTCCCCAAGCCAAGAATAACTTAATGAAAATTTTCAAAAGAAAGAAAAATTCTGCTTGCCAGTAAGATGAAAAATTCTCCTATAGTAGCCAGAGCCTACAGCTCCAAGTAGGTGACCAAGGTGACTTTCCAACTGTAAGATTCCTTCTTTCCTTACTTTTATTTTTCCCTTGAAAGACAACACTCCCAATTACGACTATTAGCTTGTCCAAATAGGTCTCACTGTGGATCTTTCTAGGAACTGTATCATACAGTTATAACTCCAGGAGTGTGGTAACACAGAATTTTGACATGTGACTTTGGTTTTCAGCCTCTTAGCTGCTAGGTCTATTGGTACTACCACCTACCCTATTTTAAAGAGCAGAGCATGTAAATCTTTTACTAAAGGATAAAACAACGTACTCATTTTCAGAAGTATGTTCTACAACTGAAAATATAAGTCTGTGAGAACTGATTCTAACTAAGTTCTTGACTGCTGTTAGGGAGACATAAAACACGCATAATGTGTTAAAAAAAAGGAATTATTATCAAAGAAATCATTGTAGTCCAACTGGCATTCACACGGTTGTAACTCTGAGGGCAAAACAGTACTTTTTAAGCTGAAGATTTAAAATATCTTTTCCAAGGCATCAAGAGAAGTATATAAGAAAATATATGTTTATAGCCAAATAGTTTTAAATTACTCATCTCTAAATAGTAATGAAGATTATTTAATTTAACAGAACTATGCCCTGAAATGAAGAAAAAATGGGTTTAGTAGCATGTGCTTATAATTGTAGCTCCTATACCTTGAGAGCATTATGTTTAGTCTGCAACAGCTGCTGTTTTATCTTTATTTCCTCCCGTTTTCTCTCATCTGTGATTCTCTTTTGAAGCGTGTCGCCCCTTTGCAGCAATTCTTTCACTGTGCTCTCGTCGTCTTCACTCTGATTTAAAAAAAATAATGAGTATAATGGGCACTTTAATCTAATTATTGCTTAAGTACTAGGAGATACAGACATATAAAAACTACACTTCCTCTGCTACAGTAATCATCTAACAGCTACTTGCAGTTCTATACTGAAGACCAAACAGCTTTTACTTGCTTTCTACAACACATGTAGACAGTTGAGGGGTATAAGTAAAACAGCACTTGAAAACCTACAGATGTTTGATATTAGATTTTACACAGCATCCAGGATAACACGAAAACATTGAAGGCAAAAAGGTAAAATATAATTTATTTTAAACCAAAAAGAATAGAAATACCTAAAATATTCTAAATCACTGTCCATAGTCCCTGAAATTGTCAGTATGCTAGGAGGCCATGTAATTCCTGACCATTTCATGTATCATCACAATGCAAAACAGCTATTCTGGCAGGGAAAATGATACCATGAAATACCTTTTACATAGAAGTTGAATCTATGCCACAGCTTCTGGGAGTGTCTCTCTTGAACCACACTAAACTTTTTAGGTAAAGAAAGGGAATAAAATATGCTCAAGTAGTGGAAACTGCCCTGTCAAACTTGATTCACTTAGAATTTACCGTTGCAGTACAAACTGCCTTAAATTTTAATTTTCCTGCATAAAAAAAAAAAAGAAGAAAAAAAAGTCCTGTAAAAGATTCCTTTCAGCATTGATATAAAATAGCTATCTTTGAAGAATTCCTTAAAAGGAAAAGAATATTGCTTGTAAAGAAATATATATTTGATCGTGCTGAGGATTCACAAAGAGAGGGTCCTAAATATGAATCTCTGTTATTGCCCAGCCAAGAAATGTCATCCATCTGAAAATCACTCTGGAGAAAACACACCACAGTGGCAACAGTAACAAAGCACAGCAGTATTTTACTCCTCTCTTTTTCCTTTTTTTTTCCCCCCTAATATGCATAAACAGTTTTAATACTTGCAAAGAGCAAATATGAGTAATAAAGCTTACCGCAGCCACAAAAACTATTTACAATAAATGGTCAAGTCAGATCTGTTAAGAACTAATTGGCAAGTAGCATTTATTTCAATGATTATTGCCTAGCATTTGTTTTTAGTGAATGTCTTCTTTTACTATATTGCTCATTTAGATACATCATTCTGAGTTTTCATGGTCTTTATACTGCTACAGAGATTTTAATATTCATTCCCTATTCTGTAATATTGCTGGTACTAGTATAGGACCTCGAGATAATATTCCTGTTTTGCTTAGTGTTTTCACAAGGATCGAAAAATGTTTTTCTTATAAATTAACAATTAACTTATCACTAAAACTTTTAGTTAATGCTAACTTGGGACTTTTGATTTTATAATATATTAGCACAGTAAAATTTTTTTCCAAGTCATATCTAAAGATCCTAACAGAAATATGGAAGTTTCTAATTTTCACTCAGGTTTTTCCATCTCCCTGCCTGCTTCACTCAGACTTCCATTTCAACCAAATTACCATATCTTTATTGAAGTCCTCCTCTTTCAGATTCACCCCCTGCTGAATTTCAACCTCCAGTGGTTCAAGCAATTTTTGTATATCGAAGTCAAATTGCTCCAATTCCTTCAAAGGAATGAAGGGCTAAAATGGAAGAAATACAAAGATTATTTATTTAAATCACATAATTAATAGTTTTATTAGAAACATAAATGAAAAGAGACATTTGTTCCACCCCCTATTGCTAAAACAATGGTAGACTTTCCATCATGTGGAAAAATATCTACACCATACAACTCAAAGTACCCAAAGATACAATTAAAGATAGATATTTAACAATACAGTAGAATTTCCATATAAGAAAGCATAGGAATTCTATGGTGAGTGAAAACTAAAAAAAAAAAAAAAAATTATATTCTTACATTTGTGTGTAAGAACAGTTTCAGATAAACAGTGTAACATCATGATTTGTCTAAAAAATTAAATGTTGACACTACTTGGCTAAATCTAGTTCGTCAGAAATTACACAGCAACAAGCAATCCATTTAGACGAAAAACCACCCACTACTACCAATTGAGAAAAATTTAATGATAATTTGTTTCAATGTTTTGAAATCTTTGCTGTCTCACAAAGAATAGCAAAAATGCCAGGTGAATTATACAAAAGACAGATAATCTTTGTATAAGATATTCCCCTAACAATGTTTTGTAACATGAAAACACCCAACAAAACTTCACTAAAAGAGCTTGTGTTTCAAAAAAGCCTCAACAAAAATGCAGGACCAAAAAACCCTCAACCAAACAAAATAGACAGAATTCCTCCAAAATGAATCACAGTATAATTATGCTGCTTTAGCTTAGCATTCAATTTTAAACTTTAAAGCAAATGCCACTTATTAACAATAATACACCATCCTTTATCTACCTGATACCCAAGTGCCTGTGGATAGTTTAATGTACAATAGGCAATATATTTATTAAGTGTATTGCAAAGGATCAACAGAAAAAGCTTTCTTCTTTCAAAGCTTTAAATGCAAGAACAAACAACAAATTCTTGATGATTCTTGCCTAAAATTTAGATTTAAAGGTAATAAATGCTTTATAATGTTCTAGGAACTCTTGGACATACAACTGTCTTCTTGCTAAAGACATAAGCACATTATATTCTAATCAGTTCTCTTTTACCTCCAGTACAATTGGTATTTATTATAAAGCAAAAGTTTGTAATGAAGAAGATAATAATCAAAGTTAATCAACTAAAACAAGAGAGACCGGACATTATCTATTCTCAGCTGTTCCACAGATGACCTGGGAGAATTAGGGTAAAAATGCCTTAATTGTATCTGTTTGATTGTTTTAATGACAAAGATTTTGCACACTTATGAACATTAATGGAAATATAATAATGTATGATATTTATAGAGAATAATACTGTGTCCACAAATTTTCACCAAGAAGCTCAGAATTACACTCAGCTAGCACTTCAGCTGAGGTAGAAATAATAGCAAACTACACAGCAATTTATTCTCAAATATTCTGAAGGATGTCTTCAAAAGTACTTAAATCTCATTAAAGGACAAATCAACTAATAAAATTGGAATATAAAATTACTAATCTCTGACAAATGCTAAAAACAATAACAAAAAATGAAATGGAAAGAAAAATACTAAATGAAATTCCAAGAATTGAATGAGGTTCAAAGACCACTTGAAAATGTTAAATCTCATTTTAGTAAGCTATGATCATTTTGTTAATTAAGGACACAACAATTACTTACTACCACTTACTTACTTCACAGGTCATTTCTTATTTACTTCACTGTTGTACTGATAATTGTTAGTATTTGAAAAAATATAGCTAATTTGAAACCAGATGAGAATTGATTGAAAATAGATTATGAGAGCTTACTATCAAATTGATTTTTTAATCTGTTATTCACTGAGTGAATAATTTTACCTAAGTATGAAACAACCCAAAACATTTAGGAAGCATAATATCATCCTGTAAGAATAATAATTTTTCAGCCCACGAAGCTGAAATCATTACTATGGGAAGGGCAGTTACCTGCATTATACAGGTGGACAAAACAAGGCACCCAGCAATTTAGTCCTTTAACCAAATGCATACAAGCAAGTTAGTAGAAGCGCCAAAAATTCAGACAAGCTTTTGCCTCTCTATCTTATGCAATACCTGTAACTATAGATATCCTTTGTGAATTATACCCTAGCTGCCCATTCCCCAAGGTCCTGGAAGAGGTCCCGTAAATTCTAATTTACTTTTAAAATTATTTGCTGTAGTTATTCCTCTTGTCTTGCTAGATACATAGTGTATAAAGCTTAGTGAAGCGCTGCCATTCCAGTTCACCTTGCCTATACAATCATAAATGGGAGAACACCTGAGAGAGAAGGTTGCCAGGTGGAAGACATTTGCAGGCTGTGTTCTGAAGACACTTCATCTTGATAAGCATCTTTTCCCCCTTCTTTCAGTGAGCCCACAACATGCAATGCAAACAGTTAACCCATGATAAAGCATCGACAGGCAGTCCCTTTGTTCCCTAAGACAAGTAATAATTTCACACAACCCTATCAAAGGCTGCATCAGCCCTGTATGCTTACAGCGTTGTGGAAGTGCAAGGTAAAACTGAGAAGGAAATCCAGACTGCAGATTGCAGACGTTCCGAATAAAAATGTCACGCAACACAGTTGTTTGGGCCTTGTGCCAAGATATTCTGTGTCTACAGTTTGTACTTCTGTAAGAAGTAAGCGAGAAGCACACTGGAATGGCTGAAGTACTACTGATGGCGAATAGGAAAAGAAAAAGATGGCCTTTATTCATAGGACATATTCCTTTCTGTTCCAGAAATGAAACCTAAATAAACTCAAATATCCGCAAAGAATATACTGGTTACACAGGGTATTGAGCCCTGCATAAACCCCAAAAAACCAATGAAAACCATGTCTCTTTGTTTATGCTTTTTGCAAAGCTTATTTCCTGCTGTGCAACTGATCCTCTGTGCATTCATTTCCAGTGTTATTACACTAGCCAGCAAAACCAGTTAAGATCGGGATCCATGCATTCCCATTATCCTATATACCGACCTGCACGGCTGCCTGCTTTAATCTGCCGAATAGCTCTCTGTAATAATGGCAACAAATACAATGGAGAAAGTAGGTGGCTTACACCCTCCCTCATTCCAATGAAGGGCATAAGGCACAACTAAAAATTACCTAATCTGTATTGAATTCATATTCAGTAGTCAAACTAGTTGTACAGATGAGTAGCTGAAATATAATTGATACAATTTGTGTATATCTATCTATCTATGTATATCTCCAACCTTGGTGAGTCACAGACTCATAGGAAAAGACTGGGTGCATTTAATGAAAAATTAGCCCCCCCCAAACCAATCTGTATCAAAAAAAGGCTACTCATACTTTGAGAAGGTTAAGAATCTTACTGGTTATCAGATTTTGCTCAATCTTTGTAAGTAATTGAAGTAATCATTGTTATGCTCATATAAAGTCAGTGAATACTTCTACTTGTGACACAGTGAAACAAGACCTTAATGGCAAAAAAACCAAACTTTCACACTTTAAAAAAAATATATTCTTAGGATCTATATTTTTTTCCTTCAAAAGCTTAGGTTTTGGAGAAACTGCAGCCTGCTATGTAGTTGCAATTGTACACCTCATATAAATACCATTTTGTATGCATCTCTTTATGGAAGCAAGTCTTCCTACCTTTCCACTCTTAATTCTTTGCGATATAGTTGCAAATCGCTGGTTGAGCTCTGACAGTTTAGGCTCTATTATTTTCCTGCAGTGATCTCCGTGGTTTGTCATCAAGTCTACTGCCTGGTCACGCACAGAGTCCACCTTTGGACGCATATCATTCAGCTCAGCCTTTAAGCGCTACAGTCCGTGAGCAAGAGACAGGGCTTGAAGTTAGTAATAAATGCAAAGAGAGAGAAAGAGAGAGAGAGAGAGTGTGCAAAGGAATAGGGAGCAAAACCACAAAGCAAATTCAGATAATTATGCATGAGTGTGTAAATCCAGTAGAAATACATTAGATAACATTCCCACTCATATCCCTCAAATTTATAGCAGGAATGTATCTACACGTCTGTTTTAATATCTCCTAGAGGAAATCAATGGTGAACATTATTTCTAGGCAGGTTCTTATCTGCAACAATACAGTCCTTAGCATATTTCAGAATACACTAAATTATTTTATGTTCCTAAAGCTAAGAAGAGCTGCTAATTCATGTATTATGGAACTGGATGTAGTTGTTGCTTTCATTTCTGTTCACGCCTGTAGCTGAGGCAGGGAAAAATGACTGGATGAAAAACAGTGGGAATTTTTTCTATAACTCTATCACAAATTACAAAAAACTGAGGGCAAATACCTTCTTCCTCTGCAACAGTAATCTTAACAGTAGATCCCAGTATGGGCAGAAGTCAAAAAAGATAGCCAGGCATTCAGGAATCATAAACACAGTGGGTCATTAAGAATTACATTTCACTGTCTGTACTGAATGCCTTTCTACAACACAAATATATATACCTATATTGATGGCAAAAATAATTGTATGTTGTACCTGATGGTGGCAAAATTGCTCATTCAACTACAAAAGTCTGTCCTGTAATCCTGCTGAGATCAATGAGGCATTGATTTATGCTCTGCCTTGGAATTTGTAAAGTTTTGCTTTAGTAAATGGTATCATTATGCCAGTGCCAGTGATACAATTCTGATTTTGATTTGCCAGCTGTTCCTCAGATAGTATGTACTGACCATGGAGTTCAATACAAAGTAAAACTTCACACGGATTTCAGAAGGAAAAAAAATCCATAAAGATAACAATTTGAAGTTGTTTAGTCTTAACAAAGAAGGTATTTTAAATGAGATACTTTAAAATTCACATCCATCTTGCAAGTTAATTTTTCATCAGTCAAATGATGCAATGGGCCAAATAAAACCTTCTGATCAATACACTAACCCATTATTATACAGCTAGTTCACCATATAATATTCTCGTCTGTGGTGTTCTTCTGGCATCAATGCAAACAGTGTTTATAGAAATAAAACAATCATACGACAGAGATATCAAAAGCAGATACCATAGATATCAGAAAAGTATCACAGAAAAACAGAAAAGCAATTACAAATGAAGAACACAGAAAAAAAGGATTTTGTTCAACTAGATGTGTTTAAGGAGTATTTTGCAGCAAATACAGGTTTAATAAGCTGCTGTTCTACTCACCAGGAAGTCCCCAAGACTTACAATAACATATCTGGTTTTATTTCTGCAAGGATTTAACTTTTGCAAGGCAGTGCAAATTTATTAAGTAATCTACAAGCTGCCAGAGAGTAGCTTTATCACAGAAAAAAAGAATGTTAATCAATTTGTGATACCTTTCAAAATATGCTAGTTTTGAAACATTCCTTTTTAGAATAAAATTAATGCTTTCCAGAAAATCACATTTTTTTACCTTAAGAATTTCCTCTTTTTGCTGGGGCTTTTGTTTATCAGATTCATCCAACAGTATTTCAGCACGGTACATCCAAGTTGTGACATTAGCTACATTCTGATCAAAAGCCTCCATGTGCTTTTGATATTCCTGTATGTGGAAAAGGTAAATACTGCACACAAAAAAGTAATCAGAACTGAAATAATAGCCGTAATTACGCCAACTGTGGCAAACATGCACACATTGTGAAATTAAATTGTTTATTTTATACAGTAACTGCTTGTTTTGTGAAGGATAGAATCTGTTATTTGTTTGCTCACACTTTATATATTGTTTCTTTAAAAAGACATTCTAGAAGAGAGAGAAGCTTCCAAAGTGACAGGCAGGAGGGTGACACAGTCACAGCAAGACACAGGTGTCTGCAGCTCAGCCAGGCTGCTGAGAGGAAGAGGAAGCTGACAGCCAGACCTGCTGGAGGTGGAAAGAAGGGTTTCCTGAGAACCAGTTACAGAACTCATTTTGGAAAGCCACTAAGTTGATTGAAACTAAGGTGGAAACAAATGCACTTGCAAAGTTACAATCAAGAATGCGAACTTTGTATATAAACCTTTTATTTGCATTTCACCTAACTTCTTGACTTTAAGACTCTGCTTTTTAAAAAGCTATTCTAGTTGATATTCTGATAAATCTTTTTTTTTCCTCCTTAATTTGAAAACCTTTTGTCTTTTTTGGTGAGCTCACTGGAATGAGGTCTACACATATCCACCTCAGAACTCCACGTGAACTATGCATAGTTTGGCATAATACTAAGTAAGTAATATGTTTTATGGTCAAAAGGAACAGCTCAATGACATGTTGCAGTGGTTACCACTGGTCGACTACTGAAATGTCTGTATTCAGTCTGTGTTTACAAGTTTGCCAACTGTGGCAAACATGCATGCATTATGAAGTTATACTTGTTCATTTTATACAGCAACTGTAGAATCCAAAGCAGAGAGAAAGTAGAGGAATACATAACTATACCAGTCTATAAACTCCATTATATATTTCTTATAATCAGTTCCACACTGAAGCTGAGCACCTACATCATATTGAATGAAATGCTTAAGTTTTCCAAATAAAATAGGCACAACCAGGTTCTTGCACTTGTATACTGCATGCAGCCGAAGAAGCCCTGTAGTGCTGCTGTATATCCATCACAGAAGCATTCGTAAGGTAGACACACAGACCTCAGTGGACCTCTAACACATCGAGCTCTGAAAACTCATGATAAAGGCTAACACACCCTCAAGAACCACTGCAGTTTCTCTGGGTTGAAACTGCATTCCCATTCTCTCAGCACCAGAAACATACAAGATTTCCCAAAGCATTCTGTCAGTCGAAGGGTTAAGATTCTTCTGTGTTTAAGGGTTCAAGCTGTCATCGCTTCATGGCAGAATTAATTTTAAGGAAGAATATAGTTATGTGACTATCACCAGTTCGAAGTAGCTGGGGCTGGGGCTCCTGAATCTGACTTAAATGTGGTTTAAGGATTTTACATTGGACTAAGCTTTATCTGGTGACCTTAACTAAGTATCCACACCAAAACAGCACCACAAAACATGCACATCATGCAGTTCTGAAAGACCAAATCATAGTCTTTGAGCACATTAGGTGTGCACCCTGAGCTTCTGACTTAGTTGCCTCTGAAATAAGTCTAGTTCACACACACCAAAGCTACTCTGTGGACCAAACCAACATCCAAGCAGGGACTTAGTTCCCACCTGTGCTACTCTTCCAAACAGAAATGTTAACATAGCCAAAAGCAGACAACGCTATTGGTATCAATACCAAGACTTATTCAACTTGTTTGACTATTTCTTTCACTTCATTCATATTCAAGTAGTCTAGGTCCCTGGGGAGAAACGGCATTTCATTCATTAGGAAAAAAATAAATAGTCCAGGAACTACTGAGGCAGACAGGAACGGGAAGCACTAACAGTCAAGACTCGACAAATCCATCATTCTGTAAACAGTCAGATTCTTAAAATATACACAATGTACTAAACAACCATCAGTCTGATTGTCTGTGTACCTGTATATTCAATAAGCGTAGTCCAGGCCACCAGAAAAAGCACTCCTATAAGGCTGAGCACCTATGACTGGGCACATACATTTCCTCTATGTGAACAAATGCATTTTCCTTACCAGTAACAGATTGAACCATTCCTCAGCACGTGAAGTTACTGCTATCCAATTACTGTTCAGGAGGCTGAGTTTATCCTCCACTAGACTTTCCTTTCCTTTCAGCACTGTCTTCAAATTCTCTCCTAAATCACTGATGCTCTTAAGATGGACCTGGCGTTTCTCAATCTCCTTCCGTGTTGCCTACATAAGCAGAATAAAAAATAAAAGTTCAGGAAATTAAAAATTCTCCACACTAAGAACATCAAATATTAAAACAGCCAGTAAGTTCATACTAGGACACACACTCTTGCTTCCTATAGGAAGGGAAAGTGTTCTGTGAAAAGCAGTAAGAAAGAAGTCAATTGTTCCTCTTCAGCTCTGATAAAATTGTAAATGTTCTTCGTATTCTCATAATCATTTTTGCTAATAGTTTCACTTTGAAAAGTGTGAATTCTCTCTCATTCCAGTGCTCAAAGTACAGTTTTAATACTTAATTATTAAACAAGAAATCCACATTTTACAATATTTATATTGAGATGCTTAAAGTTACTTTGCACATAATAAAATGGCAGAGCTATCAAATAGCACATAAAGCTTACATAATAAATGGGACAATAATAAAGCATCATGATGACATCTTAAGACTTAGAGAACCCCACTGAAAAAACTCTCATGAAATATTTTAATTTTCCTTTAATATTTTTCAATGCAATTTTTTTCAGCAGAAACCATGATGATCTCTTCTGTTAGATTTCTTGTTTCCTAACTGTAGAAATGCATCTTTTCATTCCACTCACTTGGGATTTCACTCTGTGAACTAAAATACTAAAATAAGCTATTATCCATAGCACCTCTAAGCTTGAATGATTATAATACTTATGCAGTGCTACAAAATCAGATTTCAGAATCTCCTCCCACTATTATCTTATGTAAATAGATTTAAATGATATGTAAGGTCACATAATTTACTCATTATTCATTTAATTTACTCATTATTCATTTCTTGATATTTGTTGCAACATGGAAGAAGTCTAACAAAAGGAGCAAATCCCAAAATATTTAGACAACGTGTAAAAAAGCAGGAATCTAATACTAAATACTGAGATGAAACAATGCAGAATATAACAATCTTGCTGAATACTAAATGAGAGGCACAAATTCCTTACACCTAATAGCACATCTAACCAGTTTTATGAGAAAAATTTATCTGAGCTCCTTGGCACCTGATAGCAATGATCCAGGCATATAAGATCTCTGCTTATAAAATAAAGCTCCAACTAGAAATGGAGTGGTCCAAACTGAACACAAACACAAGTAAGTTGGGAGAAAAGTAAGAATTACTACTCCAGAGACATTGATTTCTCGCAGATAACTTGAATACACTAGAAGAAGAACCACTTCTAATCAAACCGCAATCACAATTCTTCCATCTCAGGATCAACACTGTTACTGCAGTAGAACTACACCTTTATCTCCTCCATGCCATCACACCTCTCACTCTCATACATTGGTATGATTTTGTGGATAATGTGTTGTTAGGGAAAGTAACATTTTCAGTTTGCAATAAAGATAGTATAGAAATTACTTTTTGATACAATACAATCTTAATAGTACCTACAACTGACTTGGCGTATGTTATGCTTAAAGCAGCTGCTCACTTCCTATGCTTAACAGAATTAGTGATCTAATTTTGTCATGTTATTTCACAGAAAAGGTTTTACACTTGCATTTCATGTAAGTATGAGAAATTTTCCACATTCTACCAATTTTCTCAAATACAGAGGATTTGTAATAGAATCAAGACATGATTAACACAAATTATTAACTATAAACTACAGAATTATAGAATCTGAAGTGGAGAGTTTCAATTTCAACAGGTTCTATTGAGATTAAAGGAAAAACTTGCCTTCTTCTAATACAATTTAATCTGTTTCACAGCAGGTACAAAATGTCATCATAAAAAAGAATAAGACAAAGAATATAATTTACCTCCAACTCGGGATGGAAAGTTTTGATCAGCTCTATTACCTTTTCTGAACAATTTACTTCCATTTGGAAAAGAATCTCTGAAGCACATTTACTATGGGTTGTGGTTTCCTTTGTATTTTACATGTATGAAAACTCAGACCAGTCTTGGGCTATATATATAAATATTAAGCTCAACTAGAAATGCAAACAGATGGATCAAATAATTAAATATCTATGCAATAAAACTGCTACTCAAAAGCCAGATGTATAATTCCCAATGTATAAATCCCAACAAAAAGTGCAACATCCCTTTGCCTGATCCCAGGAATTGTTCCTTTCAAGGTAAAGAAATAATGTAAACCAAAGATTAGGTGCACCTCTGGGCAATATGAGTATTAACACTCCTATGTATCAGCAATTAAGGGACATAAATAACCAATGAGACAAGTAAACAATCACACTTCCCCCCACCTTCTTAAAAAAAAAACAACCCAAAACATCGAGGTCTTCAATACAACATCACAGTGAAAAAGCCATCTTCTTCAATACTTTAAATCTCTATTATTCAAAGTTCTTATGTATAAAATCCTGGACCCACTGAATACAGTTCAAAAACTAGCAGGGTCTGTAAAGAGAGTGGGATTCCACACTGCATTATCAGCTAAGACCTCCTCCGTATGCTATAATGCATACTAGGTAAATTAACAACTTTTTTTCAGTTCTTTCACAACTTTGATAACACCCTTTTTTTTTTTTTTTAAATTTGACATTTCTTCATTGCATTACTCAGAATTCTCTGTTCAATATTACTAGGCAGTGAAAATTTACATATACTTCATCCATTGCAATGTAACAGATAGCATTGGTAAATTTTCTGTACTAACAAGACAAAAAGACTGCTATAAATTTAACAACGCTATAAAAAAGAGATTAAAAAAAGAGTCATGATCCCAGAATTATTTCATTAAAACTCAGGGAGTGGATTTCAAAATCTGCTAATTTTTGAAGAGAAAGTTCCAATATTCAGTGAATTGGCCTTCACTCATGACCTTTCCCTGTATATTTTTGGGGAATAGAAGAGCATATTTCAAAATTAAAGGAAAAAAAAAAAACAGCCTTGCCGGATTTAAACCCCCTTCTGGTTGCCCTAACATCAGACTACAATTCAGCTCTGCAGTTTATTTGAAAATATGTAAGAAAGATATAGAATTTTAAATACAGAATCAAAAGTGTTAGCTCTGTAATTTAATAAGAATGACATTTCAAACACCAGAAGCCTTAAAATCAAACTCTCAAATCCCAAACACCACCACAATGGGTACAATATGAAACATTAACAAGTAAAGTAGTGAAATTCTTCCCAGAAGGACCAGGCAATGTATATATTTTGATTTTGTGTGTTTATCAGGGTGAAACTAAGTAACATAAATAAAATACATAAACATGTTAGAAGCTGAGAAGAAGCTAATTTTCTGATGCAATCTCACATGGCATTTTGGGGAAAGAAAAATATGTAAACAAAAGGTTGAACTAAGCATCATAACACCAGAATTCGATCGTGACTGTGAAAAATTGTCAGCAATGTTCAACACTGTTTTAAAACAGATTACATTAAGTCTATTATTTGCCATTATAGTGAAGTTATTAAATTAACTTTTTTTTTTCCTTAGGACTAGCATCTTTATGTATAAACCAAAATTTCATTCAAGTGTGTGTTACTTGCTTGAAGACAAAGGTTCCATAAATATTTTCAGGAAAGACAGCTCCATTAAAATGTGTGTACAAATTATACAGATTATATTACAGAGATATATATATGGCCATCTCTTCTTTACATATGCCTTCATGTAGGATCACACCTACTAGCAGATACAAGAATTAAAGATTATGGCAATCTCTCAATTCAAATTGCTGTTCTAATTTCTGTTAGACAGAATTCTGAAACGTCTCTTTGGAAGAAAGTCTGGTACTTCCACTTTTTTGAAATATCAGTTGTGGCTATTTGGTACAGGATACCACAATGGAAGTTCTTTGACCCCAAGAATTCATTCGTATTTCACTGAATGGAATCTTTCCTTAGCTTTTAAAGGAACCATTATTCTTTCCTCACTTGTGTTTCTCAGAAAAATGCTGGTAGCATGCCTTAATCAAAACTGGGAAAACACGTCACCACTGAAATCCCAGAACCTGAACATTTCTAAGAGAAATGGCATCTAGGATCCCAGCACCCAGGAAATGAAAGCAATCAGACAGATCCTTCTTTGTTAAAACTCTGCATCCAGAGCATGCCTCAGGTGACCAGTTTCTAATCCCCATCCCAGTAACACCAGAAGGAAGAGAGGGAGAGGGAAATAAGACCAGCTGAGCTTCCCTATACCAGTCCCTACCACCGAAACCTCAGGAAAGAAGTTGTAGTGTAAAATAAAAGCTTTATTTAAGAAAAACAAATTTGGATGCCTTGAAACTCAGGCAGAAGGCATATTGCTTTGCAGCGTTGAAAGGCATGGGGACAAACTTTACTGAGAATTCATATGAAATTTGTAGTTGCGTACAATAGTGTTTCACCTGTTCTACATATGGATCCATAGGATGACAGGATGAATCATGACAGGATGAATCATGTATAAATAAAAATAAAAAGTATAAATAAATGCAGTTCCCGGTGCAGCCACGTACACTTTGAGTGGGATTCACAGCTTGCTCTCTCACCCTACTGTATTGTGGCATACTCTTTATCTTTCAGTTTACTAAAAAATACTACTGTTTTTTGGTTGGGTTGTTTTGGGTTTTGTTTTTGTTTTTTTTTTTTTTTTAATTGATGTTTCATAAGGGAGTGAAAATCATAACCTCCTTCACATTAGCAAATACTAACTAGGAATGAATGACGTTTGAAAACAGAAGCTACACAGGAATGGCTTTTTCTGAGGATGTGGTGCAGAGGGTTTCTGAGCTATACTTTGTAATGATAAAACTACCGTGTATCAAATTGAACTACTGATGTTTTTTCAAACAAACCAAAGTTGTGACTAAATACAGAGGATAATATTTTAATTGTGCTGGTCATTAACATAGTTAGATTAAAAAAATTCAACACCAACAAATGATAGAAGAAAAGTTCTATATGCCTCCACACTGTCTGTACACTGTGGATTACTTGCAAGTAACCTTTGCAATTTGAACCTCTCTAAAAGAAATGAGTTAGGTGGCCCAGCTCTCACGGGTGGGATTACAGAATTAATCAGAAGCTGACATTATGGCGTTCTCAAGTGGCTGATTATACATATTTATTTGTTTATTCACATCACATCTTTCATTTTTATTGCGTTCTGGCCACTGACTATGAATCGGTTGATACAATTTTCAGATCATTTTCTTTTACTGATTTTACTGACAGGAAATATGTTGCTAAATGTGTTAGCTAATGTAATTCTAAGTACTTCAAGTCAACTTTATACTTGCTGGTATTATACACTGTGCTAAAATATAACATTAAAGCACTGGCAGACTCATACTGCTGATAGTAGGGAGTGATACAGGACTTTTCCTGCTAATACCATCTGCCATTTCCTTTTTGAGAACATGGTTTCCTGGCAATCTCATTCTTATCAGGCCACTTCCTGATTAAAAGACAAATAAACTCTGCAATGGTTAACATCTTCAGTGATAAATATGTTCACTAAGTCAGACTTCTAATTATTAAACAGATTTCTAATATACAATGTTTAATGACTATCTTTCCACCCGCATGTCATTTTTCTTATCTCTTATAACAGAACTGAATTCAAATGGAAAGATTTAGCTTGTCTCTACTGAGTAAAAAGGCAGGATTTACAGTCTTCAGTATATTGCCCATCTCATTTCACATAACTCAGCCAAGTTTTTGTTCCATCCTTGGAAAAATTCTAGACATGAACAACTAACACACTTCCCTTCATGTGCAGATTAATGCTATGTTTCATTAATGTCATTTCCTACCCCAGACAGACATTCCTTTTTATTTCTAGGTGTTTATACCTTGAAGACAATGTTCACATGTATGATTTTTTTATTCTAGACTCTATAATTATCTCTGAAACTCTCTGAGTTCCTTTCACTTTTAAGTCATCTTGGGTACTGAAAATGAATTAGAAATAAGAGCAGTAATAAATATAACTGCTTCCTTGTGCTGTAAAGAAAAAAAGATTATAAGCTCTCTGCTTAGTTATATCGACAGCAGCACACATCCAATTTTCAGTTCATTCACACTATTGAGTTCTGCTCTCTCCCCCTCCATTTTCCATCTTATTTTTTCTGAAGACTTTCCTCACAATGGCAATCCGCTGGGCCTAATTCATCTCCCAGTGCATTTCATTAGATCGGTTACTGTCTTCGGCAGCCTACTTACCCGGGAAGTCCAAAGCCCAAAGCTGCGACATTAATCAGATACTGTGAGACCCTGGTTCTGGGGACCGAATTATTGATGTACTATTTTGTATGATGCCTCATTGAAATCCACATAGGAGTATCAGTATAGCACTTATTTATGAAGCCCTCACAAGACTTTTAAAGTGTCCAGGATAACATGCAGCAATTCCTGTCTCTTAGTGGGAGCAGATGCTTTAGGAAAAAGTATACTCACATGACATGATTTCTGTAAATACTTACGTTTGGAATGCTATGCTCTGCCACCTATACTATCTGTTGGATTGCTCAAAATTAAAAGCCTGCTTACGTTTATGTAAATACTGTTTTATATTTCCTAAAGAGAATCTTAATAAAGGAATTCTGAAAGCCAATCCCTCAGTACGTACACACTTCAACAACAGGCAGCTGCTCTCATCCAAAGTGGTTTGTTTATTCTTATTTTAGTGATGAACTGACTGAAGGAGAAGAGCTGAGGTATTGTATGAGGTTGGACCGCAGTGAAGGCTTTGGGCAGGATTTGAAGCCAAAATATGCTTTTTACCATTTTTTTCTGCAGCTCTTTATGTATCAGTTGCTTGTGAAAATTCATAATATTCAATGGAGTTCTTTAAGATTAGTAGGTGGAGTGGTTCCCCTGTTTGATATATTTTTCATGTTAATATTTCTTATTTTAATTACCTTGTTACCTTTTTTGATTGTCATAAGGTAAAAATATGTCATACTACTTATAGCAAGTGTGAGACATAACAAGGACATCCCACTGTGTAGCTGCACTGATCATCAGACTTTAGGTTCTAACTATGCAATTTCTGAAGCACTAAGGTACACATCTAACAATTAAATGATATTAAGGACTATCCTGGTTTCAGCTGGGATAGAGTTAATTTTCTTCTAAGTAGCTGGTAGAGTGCTGTGTTTTGGATTTAGGGTGAGAATAATGTTGATAACACACTGATGTTTTAGTTGTTGTTGAGTAGTGTTTATACTAGTCAAGGACTCTCCAGCTTCCCATGCTCTGCCAGGTGCACAAGAAGCTTGGGAGGGGGCACAGCCAGGACAGCTGACCCAGACTGGCCAAAGGGCTATTCCATACCGTATGACGTCATGCTCAGCATATAAACTGGGGGAGTTGGCCAGGGGGCAGCGATTGCTGCTTGGGGATGGGCTGGGCATCGATCAGTGAGTGGTGAGCGATTGCATTGTGCATCACTTGTTTTGTATATTCTTTTATCATCATCATCATCATTATTATTATTATTTCCTCTTCCTCTGCTGTCCTATTAAACCATCTTTATCTCAACCCATGGGTTTTACTTTTTTTTTCCCCCCTATTCTCTCCCTCATCCCTCTCAGGAGGGAGGAGGGTGAGTGAGTGGCTGTGTAGTGCTTAGTTGCCAACTGGGGTTAAACCACAACAAGGACAAAACTTTCTATTTAAACTGCTGTGAAGCTATATACATCTGGATTAACTTTCCTGAACACACACGCAGGAACATACAGCATACATTTCTGTTTCAGTAGGACTGTACTGTGTAGTTTAACACCACCAACTATGATTCTTATTTTCATGACTGTGTAAATGGACTGAGTAACTGGCAGGTTAGTTTGGGGGCGTTCAAACCATGTGATTGTCTAATCCATCTCTTAAAACTCTGACACTTGTCCTTTATTATGGATGTTAAGATCACAATATCAAAAGTAATGAGAGGAACTGCACAGACTTTAGGAAAGTCAGAAAGTGAAAATAAGAGAATTTCAAGCAGCAATGGGTTTTTTAGGGATTGAGGTTTTGATCTGAAAGTCAGAGCAGCAATAGTCAAAGCAGTAATTGTAAGATAATAATAGCAAAAGTTGATCTTTATATATTTTTGGATACTATTTTCAAAATATTGTCATTCTTAGAGACATCACAAAACACTTGTAGACTTCTTTTTCTTGTTATTTGTTTGTAAATCGTCAGTGTATTTCAAGGCTAAAGACATTTTATCAAGCTCAGAAGCTTGAAAGGGGCAGTTAAAAAAAAAAAACAAACAAAACCAACAAAAACCCCAAACCAAATTTTACTCCAGTGCCTTTAATCCACAGAGCCCTTAGAAAACAGTAGTAAGGTTGCCTGTGTGTTATTCATGACTATTTCCATAATGCATGGTGAAACTGGTAAAAAGTTTAAGGAATGCTTCATATTAAACTAAGCAGAATTGGTATATTTTTAGGCAAATAAACAATACTGTTTAAGAGGTTTTTTTTGTTTTGTTTTGTTTTGAAATTCTGTAGGAGCACTTATGCAAAATGCTGCTGGCTGCACATAACTATTTGAAACATTGAAGCTTTGGATAATGATGAGCATAGTTTCCTCTAAAGCACAGATTTTGGTATATGTGTACAATGATGGCTTGGTTTGCTTATGTTCTGATTGGATTTTTATTACATGCACAGAAAATAAACTAGATTAGCTAGTGTTGAATGATACTGTGCTAAGTCTTAACATCACATAGAGATATGTAGTTTGATGTAGAACTCTTGCATTTCTCAGTGATTCTGTAAGATCTTACCTAAACTGTGGCACACGCAGTAATTTTGAGGAAAGTTTCATGTTAGGCTTTGAGTTTTTACCTAAAACAAGAGTTCAAGGTGAAGTCTCATGGAAGTAAAAAGCCCCCAGAATGAAAACGAATGAGCTACAAACCAAAAAGGGTAAGAAAACAAATATCCTCCTGGCTGGTACCTGAACATGTGGAATATATAGTGTTCTGACATCCTTAATCTTTCATCCACTGGAGCTGTTTTACTGTTTAATACTTTTCTAATCATGAGCAGAATGGGATGAGAGAGAAAGGGATCTCTCTTTACATGGATCTCTACTTACATGGATACTGGATGGATAACATATAGTACTCTGAAAAATGAAATTCTAACTTTAAATTCATCTCAGTGAAGATTACTGCAATATGAAGGTGAATTGTGCTATTGATACATGCAGAGACAAGATGGTTTAAACTTTTCTGAGCATTAATTTTAGGGTGAGATAATGCCATAACAGTCACAAAGTTCCACTAATTAAAACACCAGAATTTTTATGCTCTTTCTTTATCAGAAATCTATCTTGCTGTAATATGCATAAACTGAGATATATAAAGGCACAGTGTGTGTTACGTTGTTACCTTGCCCCAGGCAATTTCAGCATCCAAATTGCTAGGCATCCCCTGCACAGCTGATCTCTTTGTCAATTCTGCATCTGTCGCTGCAAGCCATTCTGTCATAGCATTAATTTCTTTTCGTAGCTTCCGGGATAATTTCAAGCATTTCTCTAACTCTTGCTTTTTTTCTGTCACCTGCAGAAAGAAAACATGTGTTTCTTAACTTTTCAGTCAAACAAGTTTAATGATTTTTATATACCATTTTCTATATGCCATTTTTCTGTAAAAGCTTAGCTTGCAATTTTACAAGCCAAGCTGCGCTTTTAATATAGTTATAGTCTTGCCTTAGTTCTCTCAATATCTGTAATTTTGCTGCTAGAATGCAAACACCTTTAAGAAAAAATGTACATAAAGACGCATTGAGTTTGAACTAGCAGCAGATCTCTGCAAACCAACTTCTCCGTTTTGAAGTCATGCAGAGCAAACTAATTTGGAACAACTGAATTAACAGGCTTTCCTTGAGACAGAAAATAGATGTCAAAACCCTTCAAAGAGTATATTTTCATATAGACGGCCATATAGTGATATTGTGATATTGAATCCTCTAGGTTTTCTATACGTAGCTACATTACTTAGAAGAAAAAAATTCTCTGCCAAAGAAACACCAACATCTTGAAACACAGAAGTCACTGAACAATGTCAAACTAAGGCAGCACAGTTAACTTTAAGTTTTTAATTTCTCAGAATATTATTTTGTTGTCTTTTTAATACTCTTTAAATGTAGGGGGTTTGCATAGGAATTTGTAATTTTTTTCTTTTTTCAAAGCAAACTGAAAAATAAATTAAAAATCAGCAGAAACGTGTCTCATTAGTAAATCCTTTCCATGGTTTAATAACATTTATTTGGGTCACTGCAGAACAACTTGTACAGTTTGCATTACATTCTTTGATGCATTCTTCACTAAGCTCTCTTGCCCCCCCTCCTACCTCCTTATCAAAAATGTGTCTGCCACTTTAGTACAATGCATGTTGCTCCCAGCATGCAGTCACTCACAACCATCCTGCAATAGGAACACTTGTATTTTGGTTATGTAATGATTTTACTTTCTTTCATACAGAGTGGGGAAACCAAGGTGTCCTCAAATGATTCTGTATGGAACTGAATAAAGATTAGGCATCTCTGTTCTAAGTAAATCAACAAAAGAAAGTTGAAACACATTTTCTAGAGCGCTTCTCAAGCATTTACTATCAGTAGGCTACATTACAGACTTTTTGAAGAAAGTGCAGTTTGTAGACTGTAATCCCAAGCTTCTTTTCCACACTCCTCCATCTTCCATCATATTCCCCTTTCAAATTCTTCCTTCTTATCTGCAGTCTGTTTTCTCACTTCCAGTTTCCTTAGAGCATCGACTTTTGTTCACATTTCCCTGAAACCTCCCACCCAGTTTAAGTCCCAGGCCACATCCCATGGAACTGATTCCCAGTCTCTTAGATGGGAAACTTCACCACAGACTTATCTGCAGCACCCTTCTGCTTTCTTCCACACTTTCCAACCTTTCAGACCACCCTAAGTCTTACCCTCCACCACTAGCTTCCAAGTCTTCTAGATCCCCATATTCACCTCTTCACACAGCCTTTCAGTTAGCCTTTTCATATGCTGAATGTTTTGGACATGAAGTTCTGTGGACAATCTCTGTTTTATTTGTTAAGTTCTTTTAAGCATGTTACATGGTACCTGGAAGGAAAGCTAAGTATTTATGTAGTCTTGACTGTCTTACACTACATTTTGGCGTAACCTGGAGGAATAGGGGAAAATAATCCTCCCTGCAAGTCCCTGAGCATATTCAGGGAGAGAGAGAATGTTCCACATACTTCGTAGAAAAGGCAGAAGAGTAAATGAAGATATCTCAGATGGACCATTAGGCAACTGGTGGTTAGAAAATACAAATTAATAAATTATGTTGTGCTGAAGTTTAAAAAGGTCAATCAAAGAAGGTGGATTAAAAGCGTTCAGTAGGTCACTAATATTTAAAAGAAATTACTAATTACCTTTCATGTCGATTAGTAATCAAGTGAGACTGTAGCCACCGATTTTTATTTATTTTTAAATAGAAAAAGAATTGTCTACAGTAGCGTCAGGTATCCAAAATTGGTATTGATATCTACTAAAACTATTTCAGGCTTTGACACTGTTTGAGTACAAGTAGCAGTGCAAAGATCAAATTGATTCCTAGCTCTACTGCCAAGGAGAGTTTGAGGTTTTAAAATGTAACAGGATGTTATGAGGTTAGGTACATGGCTTTTGCTATCCCTGAGTAAACAGATCAGATTTGCCCAGGGAATAAGCAATAAAACATCCCTCATCATATATTATCACTCTGTAGAGGCTTAGTACTAAAATCTCAGAACATTTCTTCTTCACTGAATATGCTTTGTGTGCTTTCTTGTATGCCAAATTTATTAAATGAGACCTCAGAATTTACAGTTAGGCCAAGAGGTAAATCCCTGGGAAGCACCATAAAACTCAGCTTTTTAGAGCTCCATTCACACATGGATCCAGTAATCCACACAAATTTTCACTTCTGCTGAGGAGTATTAATAGTCACTGTAAATAACTGTTTGCGGGTACTTAGCAGCAATGCAATGCAAAGTGCACTACCCTAAGTGTGATTGCCTATGTAAGAATCCTAAACACCTGGTGTAGTACAAAATGAAGTTACTGATACATGCCCAAACACAGAAAGAATATTTGCGTTGCTATATACATCTCTAAATTCTGTATATAATATCAATAATATTACACTATTTCCATGTACATTGTATATATCCAGAGGTTACTGATTAATCAGTTTCGGTTTGTACTTCAAAGGTAAAAATGTATTTCTGAAGAAAAATAGGAAACAGTGCCCTCTAAAGGGCTTCTGTTTCATGCAGTGATATCAAACACTATCTTCATAAACTTTCTCTATATTTTAAAGCTATTTTAGCTCTGACAGTTTACTCGCAAGAATCATTGGATGCAATAAATAAAAATAAAATGAGAAAAGCAGATATTTGAACCAAAAGAAAGGTATTTTACAGCCTTTTAGTCTTACAGCCAAAAATTCCTGTGCAGCAGTGCTATTGTGAGGAAAGACCTGACCTTGTAAGTAATAGCCCCTACTGCACGCAATGCCCTTAGGAGAGCAGCAAGAACATTATTACTGCCACTTTCTTTTAGAGTCCAGCTCCCTGTTCTGATGAATTATTACAGAGAGATTTGACACAAGGATGCTACAGACCCTACCTCACAGCCACTCACTCACAACTAACAAACTACCTAATCTTTAATAGAGTAGTTTGCGTGGGTATATGTATATGTGCTTGTGTCAGAGAGAGAGAGAATAAGGGCAAGTGAATGTATAAGGAAGCACAGGCATGGAATATTTATTATAAATGCAACCACTACACCATGATATTCAAATGACATTTTGCTTGTAAATTCATCTCAAACCTATTTACACTGAGGCCACTACTAAAGCTTTAAAATAATCTATCATTCTTTTAAAGCATATTTGGTGAAAAATGAGGGGGAAAACTTGTCTGTTCTGAACAGACAAAACTCATTCCTAGACCAAAGAGAGGTTTACGGTTTGATACTACCTAAGCAATTAGGACTATTTACAGGTATTTATATCCATATGTGTATATGCTAAAAACAGAAGGAACAAATACCCCACCCACCCCCCTGCCTCCCCATTTTGCTAGGGGAAGAATTCCTAGGTTCACAGTGTCTCAAGTTATGACATCTAAAATATATAGAAAAACTACAGTAGGTATTGTATGAAATTATTAGAAATTATAATGTTCTTGACTATTTGAGAGCACAACACTTCAGCACATGTTTGAATTAAACTATTCCACATGCTTCAAAATGTGCTTAAGGACTGTTTTAAATATGGGGGTCCTCCTGAAGCAGTACATATGAAATCACACAACGAGTCTACACTTAAAGATGTGTTTTTTCACTCAGACTATACATTTCAGTCCTGAGACTTACTATTAGTTATAACTATTATCAGTTTTTTCTTTTTAAGAAAAACTTAAGACAGACTTTGACTCAATGCAATCAATTAGGGCTGATAATGGCTAACTGATTTTTTTAGTTCTGTATCTCTGGGCTTTTGTAACTCTCTCTAAAACTGTTAACTACCATGCTATATAAAAGTAAATGTGAGAAATTACATATAGGACAACAAAGCTAAACACAGCATTGCAGATTTTTGAGACCCATTAATTTGCAATATGGCTCACTTCAGAACACTAATGGCTTCCTAATGGCACATTTTTATCCCTTCATTAGTTGAGAGGTTTCCTATAACAATGGCACCTGTCTGTTGTTACATTAAACATAATGTAGGAATAAATGCTACAGTCTAAAATAAATTTCTAAAATAATGGAGGAACCAAATTTGTTATCTAATCTCAAATGATAGCTATCCGCACCTTAATGAAGCAGACTCTTCAGTTTTCTTGACACTCAAAAGATTGATGTCTCTTAATACCTTTATTTTCTAGCAAGAGAAAGACCTGTTTTAATTCAGGTTCCCAAATGAGTATTATCTCTGTCAAAAGTAACATTACTGTTATTGTTTTTTCTTACTGTAGTCAGTGGGGCTTGATTATCATTATGTGTTTCAACCACATACTGAATCTCAGTATTACCATGGGCTCATTTTCCTAGCTAGTAATAATTTATGGTTCTAATAATTTATAATCTGACAAAAAAAAAGAATTTGCGTTCTGTCCTTCTTCACATATTTGAAGTATATAAATTTTAGAAGTAAACCGACAACTATATATTAGTCATTCACAATCTTCATTCAGCCAGTTACAGCACCAAATTTACTCTAATCCTACAGTTTTTAGAAGTTCTGTGGATAGTTTTAATGAGGGCGAGAGGAATAAAACAGAATAATGAAGGATAGTTGTTAATTGAATTATTTGCATGAAACCTCCTTTAGGACAATGCCACAACTCCTCTTCACAGCTCAAAGGTCCTTGTAGAGGACTGTACTTCAGGAGCAGGCAACACACTCCAAAGATAATGCAGACCCAGAATAAAAAACCTTTAGGGTTTGATGCACAATTTTTTTTTCAATCACAGTCTTGTTAATATTGGTTAGTAGTCTGTCTGTCTCTGTTTAGTTGACTTTTAGGAAAAATTGAGTAAACAAAAACATTCTCCTGTTGGGAAGTGTAACGACATTTAACTGAATATGTATCGATAAAGAAATAGATGATGTATAGATGGAAATTTTACACAAGGAATGACCTTGGGAAATTAATAGGGATTGATTCTACAAGGTTAATTATATATATATAACTTATCATTGGCATCATAATGTAAAAGTCTGCGACATTTTGAGAACTATTTGGTTTTTTCTGTAGGTAAAGCTGAGATTATATAAAAGAATATTGGGAAAGTATTCATGTAGTCCTCCTAATTATATGCTGACATTCACTAAGTGGTCAAACTGAGTACTGTAGAAATATCAGATTAAAAAAAAAACAACTGTATTCCAAGGCAATACATTCCTCATTACAGAGCTCAAATGATGATGATTCACTTTTTCCCAACATGAAGAAATTTGATAATCCCTATGGAATGGAGGATGACAAATGACTAAATTCTAAACAAGGGTTTGCTGGTATCTGAGGTGTATAAAACTGGGACAGTTATTCCACATACTCATAACTAAACATTATTCTTTGTGGCTTATATATTAAGATACAGTGAAAAGGTAAGTCAGGGTTGTACACGACATTTAAACCAGGTAACGGTTATGACAATAATTGGACACACGTAGTTTAACTCAGGAGTGCAGGAGAAGCAAGGCAGAGTGGTACACAAATACCTCCTGAGGAAAGCTGCAGTAGCAAGAATTTTTGGTCAACAGATTTTTGAACAGCAACAAATGGAAATGATATACTTAAAGATCTGTACAGTCAGAGGCAGAAGGAAATCAAAAGGTAGAATTCTCTCTTTTATGAAGTAACTCTTTAAGAAAAACATGAAAAAAATCACAAACAAAATCTAAGTATTTTTCTGACCTGAAGTGTTTCAAAACAATTGTTTGAGGCATTAAAACGAAACATCTCCCTCTGACCCCTAAAAAACAATGAACTAGTAGAAAAAAATAAATTAAAACATGAAGAAAATAAAATTTTAAATTGTAATAAAGGTTATTTTTTTCTCAGAGCAACTGTATAGCCATCCTGATGATTGCCTTTGCCTCCATTCTTTCTGTCCCACTGTTTAGAAAATGTGAGGGCCTTGAAAAGAACCAATGAAAAACCTCTTTTACTTACCATATCAAGATTATTCTTTACATTGCCAGTTAAAAAGAGGGCATAGTTTTGTATTAAAAACAAAGATCTTACCTTTGCACCCAATTCATTATATTGCAACTTCAAAGCTGTAAGCCTTTCATCCAGTTCTTTTGGATTCTCTGTCTGCTGCTTTTGAACAATCTGCCTCCCAGTTTTTATCACTGTTTCCACTTCAGACTTCACCTCACTCAGGCTTTTATATAATTTCTAATCAAATAGAAATATGAAAGAGAAATACCACCATTAAAATAAGTAAAACAGAAAAGACTATTGAAGCTATTATAAAGGCGCACTAGAAGTCTTTGCACTGTTTGCTATATAAAAACACCATCATGGATGACTCTGAGCACCTTCCACTCCCATTTGAAAGCCAAAGGAGTTGAGAGGTACCATGGTATGTGACCTAAGGATAGAGAAAACTCACCCTGAGTGTGTGTGTGTATTAAAAAAAGTTTATGAGAAAAATTGATTGGTTTCTAAATCCTAATTCAAGTTAACAGATTCAGAACAGCCTATCTTTACTAATATTAGCTTCAAAGACTTGTCATCAAAACCAATGGTAGAAATGTTATAGATAAGAAAGTACACACCATCACTAATTGTTTTAAGATATGACAAAGTTTGTTTTCAAACTGATTTAGATAATGCAGTATTTAAAACAACAACAGATGTCTTCTGTCAATTCATACAGCTTGTTGGATGTATTTAAACTACAAATAGTCACTAAATTAATTTAAAAATCTGACAGTTTTTCATACTACTAGATCAAGAGACTGGTAGGATAGAGGATTTCCCCTACATTTACTAAGTGCAATACTGTTTAAAAAATTAAATAATTAAAAAAACTACATGAAAAAGTAACTTAATGAGGTTAAGCCAAAATATATTATATAATTCACTGCATTTTCCTGCACTATTTCAATGACTAAGTAAAAAATAAGGGATAAACAGCTGTTCAGCAAGCGACAGCATACAAGCAATCTGTAAACACAGTACATTTCCCTAATATTTCAAATGGGTGATACTAAGAAAAATGAAAGCGTTCTTTCTTTTCATATGCAGAAAGTCAGTATCATCATCTAAACATATGACTTGGTAACTCAAGCCGCTTAACAGCCACATAAATGCCCAATTAACATTCATGCAAGTAGAGCAGGAGTAGAACTTTTTTTTTTTTTTTTTTTTTTTTTTTAATCTAAGAATAAATTCTGCCACGGCATGGAAATTCCACTGAACTCCACAGTGGAAAAAGACTCACAGGGATACACAGTGTGCGTTACCACACAGGTATGTGATGAATGGCAAAGATGAAACTGTTGAGAAGCTTTATTGTTGACATGTCTAGCTTAATTGTGTGTTCCAGCATTTTGCCGTCATGTGTTAGAAAATAAACTTACTGTCCTGTATACTTAGACAGAACTGCAAAATAAATTACCCTGTACTTTTTTAATCTATAATTTTTTGAGATTTTCTTTTAGCAGCAGTATCTCCCACAATGTAAAATCTGTGTCTAGTACGTCTGGACAGTAAAAATTACTTTTTTGCAGCAGACCTGACAAAAAAACCCTAAGCGCATTTTCTCCATAATCTAGTCCAACTGCTTTCTAGGTGCTTAATATGATAAATACATTCTTCATCACTGAAAATCTGTCAACAAATCAGGAAGCTGTTGTATGATGCACATTCGCTAACATATGATGGGATACTATGACTAGATTTTTTAAATAGAAACATCATGAGATTCTTTGTAGATAACGATGTGCTAAAAACACTGTAAGTCTTCCTTAGAACATGACAGGGCTGCAAAGGTAGCCGCTGAGTGAAGACACTTTAATTCAGTACAGGGCTTCTAATTACAGGGCTTCTTATCATTCTGATAAGAATATGAATTTAAGGGTAATTGCATTTAAGAAAAACTGAAGATGTAAAGAAATAATATCGACTTGTTTCATGCTTATTTTTTAATTTAAATTCTTACATTTAGATCTGAAAGAGGTTGAGGGAAAAAAAAAAACAACATCTTCAGGCACGCCATTGCTCCAGAAAAAAAACAGCTGAAGACAAGGTTCTGATTGTCCTGATTTTTGCTGTTAAAATCTCCATTTTATTATCATCAAGCACATGGTGTTCATCTTTACCTCCCTTCAACAGTAAAGGGGTACAGGATTACAGGAATATTAAAGGGATACATACAGATTTTCCTCATATTCTTTAGGACATATTCAGGTCATCTTTTGCTCTTGAGCTGTAGGAAAGTCACAGCATGCCATCTCATGGAAGCTATAATCTATGGTATTCCTTTATGTTTTGTGTTTCCTGGCTAGAATAGCCTTGTGCACTGCAACATCTCTTTCGGTTATGTCACGGAGTTCCACGGCCGTAGCATATTGTGGAAAATAGAGCAAATCCAGGGAGATAAACTCAAATGCAAGATGGGATGGGGGAATTAGAAAGGGATCGTGACTGGCCTTCTCACATAGTGAAAGTGCATGACCATTGTTTGAAAGTTCACTAAAATGAGAATGTCTTGACATTTTTTTTTTCAATTTTGTGAGTAACTGATACATTGTTTCTGATCCTGAATTCAGGACAATATTCTGTAAATTTTAGCTTTCTCCACATAAATCCATATTTTCAAAATTTTTCACTCATTTAATTAACATCCCATGCTTCTGAGAGGTCTTTGCCATGACAGAAAAAGAGAACAACATATAGAAAGGAAAAAAGTTACTGTAAGACTGTTAGAACCATTTCACCGTGCTATTATATCCTGGGAAACTTTGAAATCAAATACAATTTTAAATGTACAATGTTCTTATACCCTCATTTGCAAACAACAGAAACAAAAGGAGGATCAAACCCTTCTCTCTATCCTCCTCTCCTTGAAAAAATCAAACTTTAACTAAAAAGGTTCCTATAACTTTCATTGTGTAACTTTGCTCTTAAATCTTTCTCAGAATCTTTTCCAATAACTCCAAAAGACATATTGACAGTGTCATTGAAAAGACTTTAAATTTGAAAGGCAGAACAAGCAGGAAACAAATAGAAAGACAACATTTTTTAATATTTACCATGCAGTGATCCAACTGTGACTGCACTACTTCCTGCTCAACACTCTTCATCTCCAACTTGGGAACCTGCAATTTCACTTCATCTAAAATTCTTTTACATTCTTGTAGGCGCTGTTCAAAGTTGGCTGGCTTCTGAAACAAGCGAAACTTCATGGAGACATCCTGCAGCTTTTTCTGAAAAGTAAGCAGAGGTGGGTAGTAAATATAAAATCAAATCAACACTGAAGCCAAGTCTTAGACCCATTTCAGAATACTTAGAATCCATTATCAGCAGTTTCTCTTTTAAAGAATTTAAAACTTTTGGGGAAAATACCAGCAGCAGAAAATCTTGGTCTTCACAGGAGGAAAAAAATTCTTGTATCATCCAGGACAGTGGATGCAGGAGAGCCAGTGAGGCCATATGCTCAACTGAAGAAATTAAGTGATTTCATATTTTCCAATATGCAAAGTGTTAGGGGGTGGGGAGCGAATGGGGCTTTAATGGCTTTTATTCCCTCAAAGAAACCCAAATAAAGCGGCTGGGCAGCAAGTAGTTCTAGCACAAAACCTGAAATTTAGAGTATAAAATTGATTTCTATTTCAATTTAAAAAAAGCATAACCTAGAGTAAAAAGAAAGTAATTTGAAGGCAGAAAAATCTATGACAAGCATGGCTTCTAATTCCACAATTTTCGCAATTTGTTATCTTTTTCCATTAATTATATTGCTTGCTTACATGATCCCTACCTCAGGGGGAGGGGAAATAATTAAAAATAAAGCAAAGAAAGGGCATTTTAATTATCTACTTGAGTAAGAACTAATTTCTCTTTAGAAGTACAGAGCAAAGTACTAGTAGAATAAGTTTTTCTACTGTTTGGAAAAAAAAAAAGAATGTCACTAAGAAATGGATAAGTTATTAAATAGAAACTCAGCATCTGCAAACACACTTTTGATTTTTTTTATCTTCAAATCCTGGACACTTTATAGCAATACAGTGTTGTCTGTATTACACAAACTTGAGAAAAACTATAATAAGGAATAGAATTAACCTATACATAGGCATTAGTAAAAATGCTTCCCAGATCTATCAGATTTCTGTGAAGGAGGCAGGAATCATGAGCAGAAGACAATTCTGCGTAACACAGAGAACTGTGTACATTTCAACATTTCAGCATTCAACATTAAATACTCTTAATGAAACTGAGATCCAACAGGTTAAGAAAGGAAACCTTTCCCTAGATAAATAAGTGAACAATTGAATAAAAATAGGAAAAAAAGGGTAGGAATAAGTGGTCTTATTTTTCTTCAGTGTGTTTGCATACACTAAATTCATATTTAATTAGTTTTTCATCTTGTGACACTTCAACTTGATGAAGATCAAGTCCTGTGGGAAGCTTGCAATGCCACATCAATATCTGTTACAATTTGTGTTGGTCAATACACTAAAAATGATCTAGAAAAGAGAGAGAATGACAGTATTAATGATAGAGAAAATTAAAGTCATCTGTGAAGAGTCACTGAAGGATTGCACAATACTGAGGATCTATAGGAAAAAAACAAGCAAATTATATTTAATTAATCCAAAAATTAAGTAATGCACATCACAAAAGAAACACTAAGCTTGATATACAACAAATGAGATCTAAATTATCAATTAGCACTCTCACTTGAGTTATAATAGATAACTATAACAATTATATTATATACTTATATTTATCTCCGACACTTTTAAGAAAATAACAGCTCAATACTTAAAAGCAGCCAAACAGGCAAAGTGGGTATTTGGAATGGTTAGGAACTTAAAGAGCAAAAAAGAAAATACCTACCAGAGTATAAAAGTCATTGTATAAATCTATATTGTGCCTGAATAATGTGTGACATTTTGAGCACCTCATCTCAAAAAATATACACATAGAAAATGAGTAGAGAAGAATAATAGGACAACCGAAGCTATACATCTAAAGGTCTCAGTATGATTTAACATACTAGTCAGTCTGGAAAAGGGACAACTGAAGGGGATTAACATTAGTGGAATGCAAAAAGTTGACCAGCAAATGATGTTAACTGTTTCTCAAAATTCATGAAGAAGGTGACAGCAAGTTAAACTCTTACATAGGGAAACTAAAATGAACGAAAGGAAGGACTATTTCACATAGGATTCAGTTGTGTAACTAGCTGTTCAACGAAGTTAGGGATTCCAGCAATTTACAAGACTTCAGAAAGTATTTAGACATGAGCTTTAAATACCTCTGACCCAGAAGTTGCTCAGCTGCAAATCACTGGGGAAGCATCACATAATCTTCACCTTACTGTACCTTGTCACTGTCTTCTGACTACTACTGAAGATACAGTTTGGGGCTAAATGGATCTTTGGTGAGAAGTAACATGAACATTCTTAAATGCTAAAATGTGTGGTCGGCTGAATTTCCTTCACATCAAAGTTTAACTGATGGCAATACTCAAACTTCATGGTCAGTAGGCATATCTGGCTGGCCTAGATAAAGAGCACAGCAACAACTGATGGGAGAAAAGGAAAGCCCACAACTAAGTCAGTATCATTCCTTTTTGATTTGAGGAAAATGTCATCTTTAAAAGCAAAGGATCCATAGTTATCCAAAAGCAAAACTAAAGGTAATTAAATATTTTTAGAGATTTAGCATTCTTTTATATTTTACTACATTAAATAATGTTAAAATATCAGTAGGAATAAGTAACGTGGTAAGGGAAGGGAGTCAACTATCTTTTTACTCTGACAAATGTGTTTACCTTAAAAGACAGATGATATGAAATAAAGAAACAAGAATGTCATTTGTCTGCTGTATAATTTCCTCCCACAAAGAATTTACTATTAAATTTCCAAAAATAGCCCTTCCTCAGAGAAGATTTCACTTTCATGTAACAGTTCTTAGCCTAGTAGAACTAACTAGGTTTTAAATCACTATGGCAGAAATAGATTTTTATTTTGCTGATTGTCCTTTTCCCCTTAAATTTAAAAATCAGAACTTAACTCTCAACCTACCATAACCCAAAAAGCCAGGATAAATTTGGTCACTTAACAGTTGTTTCACAATCTCATTGAAATTACTTATTTTCATAATTGTTTACTTTCTGTCTAGATAATTGAACTAACATTAGAATAAATATATGTCAAATAGAAAGGTTACTTAGTGCAAAAAATGCATGAAGGAGTTATTTATAAGTGAGAATGCTCTTCAGGAAAAAAGTAAGTAAAGACAAATCTTGTGAAATGTGATTTACCGCCAAAGGTACTGCATAACGATGGAAAAGAATTCAAGAGTTCACTGGCCTAAAATCAAATATAGTCATAAATATTTGGAACCAAGGGTTCAGCTTTTACCCTTTCTGGTAGTTGATATTTACAATTGCTATTTTTTGTTCATATTTTATCTAATGTAAGCAAAACAAATTCTCAAAAAGACCCCACCAATTTGTCAAAACTCAAACTGATGCATATAGTCATCTGGCAAATCCCTTTGAAGAAAAAAATATCTGCACAAAGATGGATTAAGAAAAAAAAAAAAAGGGGGGACCTAGAAAGGGTAGTGCTCGCTTGCATGCTGTTGAATTTACAAACATTTAGATACAAAGTCATCTGATGCTTGCATTTCACTGATGAAATATGAGCAACATCACAGCTGCCATGGAGACCATCAGAAGGTGAGTTAGTGTGAAGGAAGACAGAAAAATAAGGAAACATAAATATTCTCAATAAAGAAAAGCTAGTCCTGTAAATAAGAGGAAACAAAAAAACCCAAACAAATCAACTTGTGAATTTCAAATTAATTAACTGTTAAAATGCCATTAATGTTATCCATAATAAAATACAAAACTGAAGCTAAGATACTTAGAAACATTTGACAGAGATGAAGAAAAAGATGACCTTTTTTACTGTTAATACCATAACAAAATTCTTTGTCTTTCCTAACAAATTTTGACAATTTGTTTTGCAGCCTGGGGAACTTTGGCACTAATGCTAAAACCAAAAGCAGCAAAATAGTCAAAAACCCATCACAGATTAATGGGTAAAAATGTGTACTGTTCTAAGTGTTAATAAAGTCTTCTTCAGCTTCAAACAGGTCTCTCTATGTCTATTAAGCTAGATAAAATAATGCATTAGCTAACATTTTAAATTGATGACTGCAATGCACTGCTCAGCATAAATTTGTCTTTCAAATGCAGTTCTACCAAATATTTCCAAATATTTTAAATTACTTTTAGCTCTAAATATTTTCAAATACCTCATCACATATACCAAAAAGCCTCACTGTAGTTTTGTTTCTCGCAACCGCAGCACATTCAAAACAGCCCTTATATAGTGTCACCACTAGCTGGTTACGTCAGCTCTGCGTAAACTGTTGCCAACTAGCTAGGAAAGTTATAACAGGAAAATGAGCAGTAAGAAGACATGGATGTTATGCTTTATCCGCTCTAATTTCCTGGCTAGAAAGGAGCAGCTAAAACAGAAGAGATACTTCAAGAACATTTCAGACTATAGTAATAGTGCTACTCATGCTGTTTATTTGCATGAGTGAAGGAAAGATGGAAGAAATAAGATTTGCATACCTGTGCCACCTCAATTTGAGAAAGCACTCTTTTGGCAGCATCTTTACCTCGGTTTCGTTTCTTCATTTCTTCCAAGCTAATCTCATGGCTTGTTAATTCAGATTGTATTTTCTATTGAAAAATAAAGACAGTAATCAGCACGGTCTGAAGAAAATGTTTGTGTTGTTAATATTATTTGGAACAGTTGATTTTGAAAGATATTAAACAGAAGTACTACACTATATACAGGATAATTAGAGGAAATTATTCAAAGAATTACTTGTTCACCACCCTGTAAATTATTCAGTTTAGTTTCTCTTGATCATAATAAAACCTCCTGATCAAACATATATAAGTCTGACATTGTGACAGTAATGACATAATCTTGCTAAGGAAATTGTGATTAAATTGTAGGCAAAAAAAATATAGATTTCTTTTATCTGAAGGAAAGCAACTATTGTTATTGGGAAGAAAATAAAAAATTAATCATAGAAAAGGAAAATACAAATAGAAAAGTGATTTGCTTCACTATTCTTATTTCTTATTATTTCCACAGTATCATAAGGCGAGTTGAGAGAAAATTGATCCAAGTATCCTGTATGTATGACAACATCTTCATCTCACAGAGTTGTGTTATATCTAAAACAGTATACAATTTGTGGCATATTACTGACCAGAATCTGCGTTCAGTATCTGTAGATATGGTAAATGCATAATGACATGTAGTTCATTAATACACTAACTTAATCCATTTTCTAACACACATTTCTGGTTATCACTTTCTGCAAAACCAGTGTGCAATCAAATCATCACAAGAAAAATATCAGCCTTGTAGTTCACCATAAATCAACCTTACACAAAACAATTAACTTAGGCAGTGTTGGCTAGTGCAATGTAACGGAAAAGAATTCCCATAATATATATTGATACAACATAATATAGAGCGATTCACATATTTTTATGTTTAAATTGCTAGAAAATGAGAAACTGTTATTAGCAGGATTGCTAGACAAGTACTACTAAGAACGATTACGCTGTGAAATAAAGACAAGGTATATCTCCACCAAAAAAGGTATTTAAGGCCATTGCTCCTGAGTGAAAAAGTGATTTTAGATTTAATCATTTTTTTCTATGGTACAGAAGAATTTCTCAGATAAACTAAAGACTAGCTATAAGTTTAAATATATGCACATGCATTTATCTTACACTACAGTAACTTGCAAAATGTGAAAACTGTGTCGTTCAAAAAAGAATTATGCAAATGAAGAAAAGGGGGTTTTAAATTACAACTTTAAAGTTTGATTATAAGTAAAAATTAATACATAGATATTTTTAATAACATCTTCATATGTTATTAAGTACAAAGCTGTGTACATTGTATGCTCTCTACTTTATAGGGGTATTACATGGTTATAATGATTTGCATAACAATTTATTGTATATAACAATACTACATTGAAAGCAGTTTTTCACAAGTTATATTGGAAATGTATTAAAGTAAATTTTAAGAGAAAAAGACTTACAAAAATACAGAAAATTATTAAGTCATTGAGAAAATACAAGTCTAACCTATCCAGTATTATTTAGAGAAATAAAATATTTTTCTGAAGCAAAGCATTTGTAAAAGCAGAATGACTGACAGAAAGCTGTCTATTTAGATGAAACTTTTAATTTAAAATTAATGTAATGGTACATTTTCTATTTTTCATAGTGAATATTTTGAGTTCTCCTAGACAAGGCTATTTACTGAATGGCCAGTAGTATTTGGGGTAAATAACAGAATTTTTCTAGATGTGATATTTTAGTTTTGAGAAAATGAAGACAGTCAATTAAAAGGACAATGCAATACCAGGAAAGAAGGTATATTAAATAGTTTATTTTGGAGTATTTCTTTTCTCCTTGTCTAAGTTTAAAATTTCCCCCTTGAAGTGTACTAGAATTGTAACAAGATTATCTTCTGTGTTTGTGCAGCACACAGACCAAATTGTTGGTGGTAACTCAGCTTTAGTTAGTTCCTGAAGCCAAATAATTTCTTGATGTCTTGGAAGTCAGAACTGTATATACAAGGATGAAGCAAGCCTGACTGTTAGAAAAATATATGATATCATATCCAGTACTTCAACTGTTTGCTTCTGCACCTCATCAATTAACCGATTTTTGGTTGTATTTTCCAGTTTACTTTGTTGAACCTCAGAGTCACTTTGGAAAGCATATAATTGAACAGTTCTTATCTGAATAGGTCAGAACAGCACCGTATAGATAAGAGTAGTGTTTAAGCAATTAGGTATTATGGGACATTGCACGGAGATTATTCTATCTTACTTTTTTTTTCTTAAATTGCTTTGCGGGAGAGCTTTCCTCCAATATGTTTGTTCTCTCTAATTCTGTATTTTGATGTCAGAGTAGGTGATAAAGAGTAAAAGCTTTGCAGCAAAAACTGCCTTCATTTAATTTCTAGAACATTACAATATAATGCAGTGTATGTAACTAATAAATATCACTGTGCTTAAACTATTCTGTCCTACAGGTTAGGGATTCTCATTTTCCATCACTGGCTTTTTTTTCAAGAACTTTATTAATTTGTAAAAAAATAATATATATATGAATTAAAATATAAGTGTGTGTATATATATATATATATATATAATAATTATATTTACAAGACCAAAGGCACTGACTATGCCTGTTCTCATGAGGACCACTTCTAAAGCCAAAGGATTTCAGTCCTAAGGGCATGCAATGCATTATTTTTCTCAATTACTAGTCTTTAACTTTAAAAAGATGAACAGTGAAATGCAGAGTCTTGCTATATTGACAGTAAAAAACAGAAAACTGGCAGCGTAGCTAGTTCTTGGAAAAACCTTTCCTATCTTGAATCAGAGAAAGGAAAACCAAAAGAACCAACATGACTATTTGTCTCATTTGAAAATTGACACAAACCTAGCTGCAATCTCATGCTTCGAGAACAGCATTTAGAAAAAAGGTAACAGGGCATAGAAACAAACTCTGCAACATTATTTGCAACAGAAAATTGAACTACAAGGCTTGATTATATGCCACTTCCCATCAATACCTGCTATCACAACTAGAAAATCAGTCATCATATTTACAAAAAACAAAGAAATGCCAATCAGTAATAATCAGCAAAATCATAACAATGCAAAGTAATTTTGGAAAAAAAACAACAAGCCAAACCCCCAACCTTCTGTATTTAATTAAAAATAAGCGTTTTATTTATAACCAAAGGATAAAAATACAAAACCATAATATACATAGAAATAATATTGTGGAATAATGGCTGAAAAGATTAGATTGGTTGTACATCTGATGTGCAAACACGGATTTTAGCATGCAGAATGCTGAAAAGACTACACTACAGGAACAGCTGCCAGTTCCAGTTGATGTAGTATCATCAAGTTGAAAAAAGTTTGAAAGACATTCTGGAAAACACACTGGTGAAATTGCTTTCTCATGGAAGGTCAGGGATACCATTTTCCACCCCAGAACTGGGGGAAACCGCTCATCTCTCTTCTCTGCTCTTTAAGAACGAAGAAGACTCTGTTCGTTCTGTTACTTCAGGAATGGGGCAAGGTCATAGGAGATGTGTATTATAGTGCACATTATCCTCCAAGACATCTTAATTTCATGTTGCTGTACCTTGTTGTATTGTATATTAGTTGCCAGAAATTCATAACACAGGAAGAAATTACTTTGCAGTCAATATTGACTATACCAAGATCAGGAAATTGACAAGTTCTCTGGATAAATCCAGAAGAAGAAAGATACAAGTGATATGTATATTAACACATTCCAAGACAGACAGGAAACCCTGATGTCACTTGAACTTAGAATAAGCAACAAATAGGTGAAATATTTCCTATGGGCCTGCACTGTAATGAGAGTCACCAATTTACTAGTCTCAATTTGATTTATAAACTTCCACAAAAAATACACTAAACATAATGAATTATAGTTCATTAAACACTGCTACAGCAAAGGGATTCAGTCAAAATAAAGTTGCCAGAATTAACCACACTTCCTCTTTTTTTTTTTTCTTCTTATTTCTCTTTCTCTTTAAAGTCCATTGCAGAAAAATATACACTAAATTCATGTTTACTAACTAAAAACCTGATTTATAAAACTTGTTCCTGTACAACAAGGTTATTTTCATTCTGTAACAAAAAACTGGCCAAATCCTCAAGGAGAAACATGTCCTATTTTCTCCATGGGAAGCTTAATGAAAGACATTGAAGGGCTTTCTATTCCAAAGCAAAGATTTATGGAAACACAGGGTGACACATTAGAGACAGGTAGTTCCTTAAAGAGAGGACACATGGATCTCTTGGGTTATACATAGTGAACAGAAAGACCTTTTTATACCTCTCTCTGACCTTGCAGGGTTGGTCCTTCCCTCACAAGATTTCTTTCCTGCCTAGCAACTTTCAGCGGCATACTGAGCTATAGGCAGAATCTATGGTAGGTAGATATAGGTAAGCCCTGAGGGCTGACTGTGACACTGTCCCCTGCTCTTGCAGGTGTTCCTGCAGTGGGAGGCTGCATGTCCCAGCCCAGGGGTAATGTCCTTTTCTGTCCCACTGGCCTCCCAGAAGCTGCTGCCAGCTCAGCATCTTATCTCTCAGATAGAAGGTTTTCCCCATAGTTTGAAGGATGATAGAAAATAAATATGCTGCTCCCTTCTCATAGACGTTTTTAAGCAGAACATGCTATGCAAAACATGCTATACAAAATAAACTAAGCAGTTATACTATCCTCTACTACATCCACAATCATTTGTCCATATTCCACATCCTCCAAGAAAATATATAAGGCAATACTAGTACTGGGCAATTGAATACTGTTTAATTCTCAAGAACTAAAAATTACATAGCCAGAGTAGTAAATCTTTCAGCAGTGAGTGGTGGATCTGGAGGCAAGGGCATTTACATTACCTTAAGTTTCTTCCACTGTTTGTTCTAGGAACATAAGGTCTAAATTTAGCCTAGAACATAACTTTTCTACTATGGATTTCATTAAGATCTACTGCATAAAAAGGCCTGAACTTGACAGCAACCCTATGAGTTCTGCAGTGGCACAAAAAGATGATGACAATATGACATTTTTCAGGCAAAATGGTGAATTTCTAATTGTTCTCTGTTTTTTTTGTGTACTAATCCATTATGAACTCAAATTATACTAGATTACTTTTGTAATTAATGAGTCCTTCACATAACTCTTACATCAAAATTGCCTGGATATGAATTTGCAGATTTGGCTCTCTTGAGCTGCAGAGAACAGCTTGTTAGCTCTTCTTGGTGTATTAGGTTTTCTGATTTGTATTTCTCTAATTACTACTTAGCTAGCCTAACAGCTCTCAAGAATGGTTCTCAGTTTAACCTCATTTTTGCTTATTTTCACAGTTGCTATCAATGCCTAAGGAGTCAGATCTCAGCTTAATGTATGGAGAAAATAAAACATTTAGAGAGCATTCTGGTAAGTTAATATTTATAAACAGAAAGATCATGATTCTAGCAGACATAAAAAACATATCTGAAACAATTTCAGAACTCTTAGTGGTTACCTTTGAAAACTCTGAAAAGATAAACAAAGTACCAGAAGATTAGAAAGATTAAGTTGAAGCACCCATTTTTAAAAGCACAAAAAGAATACGTGTCAATGATGTCACACCTTTGCAAAAAAAGAAAATCATATAATACATATAGAAGATGATGTTATAGAAGGATACA